AGGGAGAGAGGGAGAGAGAGAACACCAAGCAGGCTCTGGGCTGCCAGCGCTGAGCCCAATGTGGGGCTTGATCTCACAAACCATGAGATCCTTACCTGAGCCGAAATAGAGTTGGATGCTTAACTGACTGAGCTACTGAGGCGCCCCTATGTTGTTTTTCATTTTAGAGAGAGAGGGGGCGCCTGGGTGCCTCAGTCAGTTAAGCGTCCCACTTCGCCTCAGGTTATGATCTCATGGTTCATGAGTTCAAGTCCCGTGTCAGGCTCTGTGTGGACAGCTCAGAGCCTGGAGCCTGTTTCATATTCTGTGTCTCCCTCTCTCTGCTCCTCCCCTACTCGTGTTCTGTCTCTCTCTGACTCAAAAAATAAACATTAAAAAAAATTTTTTTAGAGAGACAGTATGCACAAATGGGAGAGGGATGGAGGAAGAGAGAGAGAATCTTAAGCAGACTTGACACAGCACAGAGCCCAACATAGCGCTCAATCCCTCGTCCCTTGGATCATGACTGGAGCCGAAATCAAGAGTGGGACACTCAACCAACTGAACCACCAAGGTGCCCCTCATATTCACCTTTTGTTTCTAGACATATTTAAGCATCTAGAACTTATATTCCCATTAAATTTAGCCACAGATAGGGCAAAATACATAGCTACAGATAGCTCTAAACAATTAAATGTAGCTGAATTAACAAATACTAAATTTACTAAATTGTTCTTTCAGCTATTAAAATGGAGTTTTAAAGAATTAGAAGTTAAAAAATTAAGTTTCTAGTCTTACTGAGTACTTACTATACACAAGGCACAAATCTAGACATGAGGGTGAGGTAGGGGTGTTGTAGAAGATGCTGACCCTTAAGAAATTTATGGCTTATCTTACCTGAAATTTCAAGTGATAATACTCATCTCAAGCTGAGGTGTTCTGAGGGGGAATGCCTGTATGTAATTGTGCAAAGAAAAACCCTGAAGTTGCATTAAGTGCTGAAGAGGAAACCTGAAGAATTTGGTAAACGTTTCATGTTAGGAGCACCTGGATGGCTCAGTTGGTTGAGCCTCCAACTTTGGTTCAGGTCGTGATCTCACAGTCATGGGTTCCAGCCTCTCATCAGGCTCTGTGCCCCTAGCTCACAGACTGGAGCCTGCTTTGGATTCTGTGTCTCCTCCTCCCTCTGCCCCTTCCCAGCTCGCGCTTTGTCTTTCTCAAAAATAAATAAAACATTAAAAAAAAATTTTAAACATTTCATGTGAAATAGTTAACTTTAGCTTGAGATAAAGTGAGATCCTTAGAAGAACAATATTGTATATTGTTTTTTACAGTTTGGATTATAGGTTTTGAACATTTGGGCAGGAGGGGACACTGAAGATAATTGGTGTTTGTAAGAGAAATAAATATGAGACACATTTGTAACTGTAGTTAATCAGTATTAACTTATTTTTGCTTAGAAGGGAAAGTTAGGGGAATGTACTAACTAAACCTCTGTAAAAAAAAAAAAAAGTTTTGTTTTCTTCACTAAACGTCAACAGCTGGTCATGCCACTCTGTGCCCCCTCCATGTTGGCCTTCTACCAGATAAAAGGAGTGGAACAAGAAAACTCTTGGAGGTGCTCTTAACAGCAACAGCAGCATTGTTCAGGAAAAGAAGGGCAAATGCTGCTTTGATGGGTTGCGATAAGCTACAAAAACAGAATGTACAAAGTGGAGTGCGTGCTGACTGATAACATGGTGTGTCAGTTGATACGTATCTTTAAGACATCTTAGCATCAGTCCAGTTCTTTTTATGTTCTATGTGTTGTATCTGATTCTTACTTGGAAATACTTACACCTTAAAACTCTCCTGTCCAGATTCCTTGCAGCCTTCTGTAAGAATATTTACCTTTATGGGGCGCCTGGGTGGCGCAGTCGGTTAAGCGTCCGACTTCAGCCAGGTCACGATCTCGCAGTCCGTGAGTTCGAGCCCCGCGTCAGGCTCTGGGCTGATGGCTCAGAGCCTGGAGCCTGTTTCCGATTCTGTGTCTCCCTCTCTCTCTGCCCCTCCCCCGTTCATGCTCTGTCTCTCTCTGTCCCAAAAATAAATAAAACGTTGAAAAAAAATTAAAAAAAAAAAAAGAATATTTACCTTTATTATAGAATCTTTCACCCTTGTTGTAATTCTTATTTACCTCTCTACAAATGAATAGGATAGCTCTGTGACTTCAGGCAGCTTATTTAATCTATTTCTTTGCTGTTAAATATATACTTGTATCAGCCTCTTACAGTTGTTGTCAGAATTAGAATTCCTAATACAGAGAAAGCACTTAGTAAATAGCATATATTATTATTATTATTATTACTATTATTATTATTATCTTATTATCATTAGAGGGCAGTGATCTCCTATTCTGTCTTCCTCAAGTACTTCTTTTCATTGGCCCAGAATCATTAAAAATGTTTAATATGGTTGCCTTATTTGTTGAGTCTTGTGGTGTGTATAAGACAGCTATTTTTTTTTCTCTTTTTTAAAAATTATTATTTTCTTTAAAGTAAGCTCGGTGCCCAACATGGGGCTTGAACTCACAACTCTAAGATCAAGAGTTGCATGCTCTGCTAATTGGGCCAGCTAGGCACCCCTAAGGCAGCTGTTTTCAAACTGTGTTTTCTGAACAGTTTCAAGGGAGGTACTCTTTTTTTTTTTTTTTAGGTTAAGTAGGATTTATTTTCATTTGTAAGTGAACCCTCTTGCAACAGGTTTATTCAATTCTCCTAAAAATGGTAGCATTCTTTTAAACTCTTCTTTTAGAAGCAGCAGTTACATAGATGGAATATTGGATTCAACCTAAAAATGTGGTCCCTAGTTAACTTTGTTATTCTGCATATAAGCATGATAAAAGATTAGGATAGTCTTCACATTTCCAAGCAGAATACAATTTAAAAAGCTTGTCCTTACCAAACCCCTAAAAACAGCCATTTTTAAAAATGTTTGTTTATTTTTAAGAGACAGAGCATGAACAGGGGACGGGCAGAGAGAGAAGGGGACAGAGGATCTGAAGCAGGCTCTGTGCTGACAGTAGAGAGCCCAATGTGGGGCTTGAACTCACGAACCTGAGCTGAAGTCAGATGCTTAACCCACTGAGCCACCCACGTGCCCCAGTGTCTCAAAATAGCCATTTGAGAGTAAGCCAGCAGAGCATTACATCACCCCAGTGAAGTGTGGGCTTCGTTATATGCACCAGTAAACCTACATGGCTAGCTTCTGCATCCCACTTTTACAGATTTTACACCTATTATGCCAAACAGCATTTTATTTTATTTTTTTTTTAATTTTTTTTTTAACGTTTATTTATTTTTTTGGGACAGAGAGAGACAGAGCATAAGCGGGGGAGGGGCAGAGAGAGAGGGAGACACAGAATCGGAAACAGGCTCCAGGCTCTGAGCCATCAGCCCAGAGCCCGACGTGGGGCTCGAACTCACGGACCGCGAGATCGTGACCTGGCTGAAGTCGGACGCTTAACCGACTGCGCCACCCAGGCGCCCCTATGCCAAACAGCATTTTAAACACTGACGTATAAACTCCCCAATAAGATAAAGCAAGGACAGAAATGAGAAGTGTTTATCAGAAACAGGATACACCATCACTTAATAGTCTTCAAACAGTATTGCACTGTAATAGTTTTGACAATGTGCTCTTGGAACAATCTGCAAACAACTCATTTTAACAGACAAAGAACGCTTTTAAGCTGACATGACTGTCTTAAATTGTTTATTAGGTAAGAATGTTACAAACATTGCTTACATTAGTGGTACCAGCGGAGCTGGAGAGGATTGCACCTTCTCCATGCTAGGTGGCCAGAACCACTAACAGTGTGGTGGAACTTGTGATCCTCTCCAAAGGCTGCGTTCTTGCAGCCTGCAGATGTCAGTCCTTGCATCCCCCTGTGCTTGTGGACTGGTTTGGTGATCCAGTGGGTGTCAGGATTTCTACTGATGGCTTTATGGAATGGATCAAAGAAGATAACCTCAAGAATTTGTATGTGGAATCTTCACCAACCCAATAAGAATTCAGGATTCTCAGAGCCCCACAGTGGCATCCAGCTCGCTCATGTGCAACAGACTGAAGGCTTCCAGTAAATTTAGCTGGTTAGCACCATGATGGACAGGCTTGCCCTAGGTCACACCCTTAGGAGCTGGGAGTTTGCAGCCACCACATGACATACAAATCCAATCTATGACCTAACCTTGCTTGGCTTTGTACAAGGGAGGTAGTTTTGGATTCAAAAATAGTCTATTTAGATTTCATTTGTAAATTTTAACTATCTTTAAAAAAACTAATTTTTGAAGTCAAGTGTTATAAAGCTGAACTTTCAGTAGTAAAGCCTCTTACTGTATGAACATGCTGCCAAGTTGTGCTTTTTCTATCATCTCTGTTTAGCTAATTGAAGGTTATCCTGATAGTGAAGGCTAAACTGTTGAAAATAGAAACAAATCACAAAAAAGAACTTGTTGCCATTTGTAAATATTTTTCTCTATAAATGTTAATTTATACTCAACAAAATGAAAAAATAAATAGAATCCTGTCTCACATATTTAGGAATGCAACTGACATACATAACTCCCACTTCTATTGCTTTTTATTAGTCAGAAGAGACTTATTTATTCCCATTGGTTGATTTTGTAATAAATTCATCTTATAAATCCAAATTAAAAATGCATCTATTTTAATTAAATGTGGGTTTATCTGCTACTTTGGGAAAAACAAATATTTATAAGTAACTTGCCATTTGTGTGTTCATTTGGTAAGCATTTATTGACACTGTAGTGTGGCAGGCATTATGCTCTAGGCTAAGGATATGTTTGACAGGCTACCCTACCAAACTGATAGCCTTTGGCTAAACACAAACCTATTGGGTTTCCACATAATGGTGCATTTAGAAGAATAAAGACTTTATTGCTTTAAGAATACTCTGAAACCACTGATCTGTAAAGTGTCCTGTCTCTTCTAGTCGGTTGACTACCATCATGTTTTTGCAGAGGTCCAGCTGGAGTAAGAGCCCAAGCCCTGGATAGAGATGGAAATCTGATAGAAGATTTTGTATTTGATGGAGGAGTTGGGGATATTGGAAATCGCATTCTTCATGTGAGAAATGCACCTTCCCCTGCTGCTACTTCTTCTCTTGCAATTTCTGGAATGATTGCAGATGAAGTGCAACAAAGATTTAAATTATAAATAATGTAAGGAGCTAAGTATGCATTTTAATTTCCACATTCAGCAACAAGAATATACTAATTGTATTCTTTAAGGAAAATGATTTGAAAATCTTATTGTTAGGTATCTCATTTAGATAACAACTGAATTGTTAGAATGCTGTAACATAGAAAAATAATTTTTTAAAGTCCATGCTCCTTTGTGAATAAAGAAGCAAGGTACAGTTGTGTCTGTACTGAATCCTTGACTGTTATGGACCTCTCCTCACCAGCCATGATCTGGAGATTTGACTCTTAGAATTTCTGGAAACGATGGCACAAAAAATTGATTATTCCCTTAACTTTTTGTCTTTATAGTATCTAAGCTTTTTTTTTTTTTTCTCTCCTAGATCAGAAAATACAGTATATTGTAGGTTGCAAACCTCCTTTTAACTTTGAAGGATCAAATGAAAGCTCACATTATTTAGAGCAACAGTATTTGTATTTGGGAATTTAAAATTCTTGATTTAAAGAAAATTTATGAAATTTCACATTTTTAAGTAGTTTGAATAAGATTCTATCTTAGCTATAATATTTGTAAGAAATAACTTTGCAAAGGAAATGCAAACCCTTTATTATTCCCAGTCTTTTTATAACTGACTTGGTGTAGGGTTCCCATTAAATCCAAACAGCAGTACACTATGAATGGTTGTTGCCTACTCTTTAGTCTTCTGTGGTTGCAAAACTAAAAGAACTTAGAACTGATAGGTTTTTATGTGAGCAGTTTTAGAATTCTGCCACTGATATATAGAACTCTGTAATTTTAAAAATTTACCTCTATATCTCTGTTTTTCAGTCATACCAGGTTTCTCAAACGTTAGCCAAGATCACTATTTTATTCATGCCTACTTGGTTTTCAGGGATCCTATGAACTTTTATGAGGATATTTCTTCATTTTGAGGAAATACCTAACTTTGAGGCATTCACTTTTGTAAACCGCAAAAGTGCCTTACATTCACGTGTACTTCATGAGTATTTAAATTATTGCCCAGTGCCAATACTGTATACTGTATATATGTGTGTGGTATCTGTTGAAATGATTCTTGCAATTCAGAAAGTTGGAAAATAGAAATATAAATGAATTTATGGCAGCCCATTGATTGGGGAAACTTTATTACAGCACCACCAGTTAGGCGAGACATTTTCATCCCTTCCCTCATATATACTCTCTCAGGATTAATCTTCCACTCTTCATTCTTTCCTCTTATCTCTCCAAATCTGTGTGATAGATAAGTAAGAAGGATGTGTATTTTGACTGAAAGGAAAAACTTCTGTTTTCTTCTTTTTCACTTCAAGCCTCAGTGATTACATTGTCTGAGCTACCTCAACCATTAATTTGAAAGGCTACACCATCAACTCATGTTCAAGAAGTAGCACATCCCAGGTAGAGACTAGGCAATTATTTGACACTTGGGATGAACATATTGAAAGCATTTAGAAATCATTCACAGAAGAAATTAGCCCTAATGGTTCTTCATAACAACTGATTCCTCCAAGAAATGTGACACACAGGATATTTTTCTGTTCCATCGCAAGACTATTAAGAGATGGAAAATTTTACAATTCTCTATTTCATAAACAGTGAGATTACATATATACTAAGCTGTGAAAGACTGAAATTATAAAAATAACTGTCCTCATTAAAGCAACCCTCATTCCATTTGAGTCTATATTATACCCCAAAAAATATAAGTGAAAAAAGTTATTGAAAGTGTTTTGAATGTGCAGGTTATTCTGTTTGTAAAACATTTTATATTTATATCAATAGGGTTTTGTTGTGTAATACTGATATAATATTTAAAAGTTTTGTGTATTTCTGAGATAAGAAAATGTAAATTAATATTAAAATATTTTAATGAGTTTTTGTGTTGTAAACATAATTTTTAGTTTCATAAAACTGATTCAAGTGAATTTTTTGTGTGTAAAACATGAACTATCATAGCTTTAAATAGCAGCCAACCTTAGAAAAATGAAAAAAACTATTTGCATTTAATATAAAAATGAGGTTTATATTTTAGGTAAAAAGTAGAGCACTTCCCCATTTACAAAAGTATCTTTCCATTTGGTAGTGGTGGCAATATCTGGCTCACCTCAGTGTCCTCTTCATACCCCCCGAGCACCAGGGAACATGGTTTCTGTTCCATAGCAGAATATATATATAACACATAAACACACAGTGCTTTGCAGGCAGTGGAGGGGACAGTAAATCAATCAAATCGGAATTTCATAAATCATTATAGTTTCTCTTAGGAAGACATTCTGGTATGCTATCTTTTACACAGGGGGTTGGATTTCTGGGCATAAGCCTCATATAAGGGTGATAGGGCACATGATCTGTCTGAGAGCCTGCTCCAACTTCTTGCCAGCAGGTGGACTGTAAAAGGACCAGAGTTAGCTACAGCAACAAACCGTGAAAGTGAGTGACAATGACATTTATTGTTTCCTGTGGCCTTGCTTTGGTTTGCTTCTGACTGGCAGCACTTGTAGCTTTAAATACATCGAGGAAGTAGGAGAGAGTAAATGGGAGAAATGTTGAGTAAGTCCTTCTTGAAAATGCTTTTCAGTGCAAGAATATTACTGTTAAAATTTTCACTGCCTTTTAAAATTTGAGATGTGCTTAGATTATTCAAGTTATCTCCCAAAAGCCATTCTAAATTCTAAAAAGACAAAATTAGTACTTGTCAAATAACTAGCATATTAATTTTAACTCAAATTTATGACCAAGTATAGTATCAGTATGTTTAATACTCCAATTTTTAAAAAAGATTTTGTTTTTAAGTAATCTCTACACTTAATGTGGGGCTCGAATTCACAACCCCAAGATCAAGAGTAGCATGCTTTACTCACTAAGCCAGCCAGGTATCCCTAATACTTCCATTTTTTAACACTTGAAGCAAGTGTTTATTATTTAAAAAAAATTTTTTTAAATATTTATTTTTGAGATAGAGACAGAGCATGAGGAGGGAGGGGCAGAGAGAGCAGGAGACACAATCAGATCATGCGAGATCACGACCTGAGCCAAGTTGGATGCTTAAACGGCTGTGCCACCCAGGTGCCCTGTATTATTTTTAAAATGTTTTTTAATTCATCAGTGTTTTGAATAAGTACAGCATTCATATGGTTGAAAATTCAAAATGCCCCAAATGTACTCCATGAAAGAATCTCCTCTCCTCCAAGCCACCCAGTTCACTGATTCATGAGGCAACAAAAATTGTCAGTATCTCTTGTGCAGCCTTGCAGAGATATTATACATAAAAAATATTGCCTCCATTTCTTTTTACACAAGTGGTAGCATACTCTGCATACTAGATTACAAACCCTGCTCTTTTCACTTTGCACTGTCTCTTTGATAATGTTCAAGTGACCTGAACACAGTGGCCTGGTTCTTTTCAAATGATTTTATAGCTTCCATTCTGCGAATTTACTATTATTTGTTGAACCAGTCCCTGATACCTACTGACAATTATTTAAATTGTTTATTTCTCGGGCATTTTTGTTTTGCTTTTGGTGTGACAGTACTGCAATCAATAACTTTGTGTTAAATCATTTCACATTCGAGCAAGTGTGTCAAAAGGACATATTCTTCGAATTTGCTGGGTCAAAGGGTATGTGCCTTTGCAACTTTGATAGTGTCAAGTTGCCTTTGGTAGAGGTTGAACCAATTTAAGCTCTCACCAATAATATATTAGAGTATCTGTTTCTTCATATTCTCACCAACATAGTATATCATCAAACTTTTGGATCTATGCGGCTATTCTAATAGGTAAAAAATAACGGTATAATTTAAATTTAAATTTCTTGTAATATGAGTAAAGTTGAGCATCTGTACTATGTTTAAGAGACATATTTCATTTTCTGTGAACTGTGTTTTTTCGTATTTGCTATCCTTTTTTTCCCCTTAAGTTTGGTCCTATTAATTTGTAGAAACTCTTTTAGATATTGGGGAAATAAACTATTTAGAAAATGAGTTACAAACATTTTTTCCAGTTTGTCATCTGCTTTTTGCCTTACCTTGTGATGGTTTTTGTTTTTGCCACACATTAAAAAAAAATGGATTTACCAAGCTTCTAGATTTTATATCATAGTAGGTCTTTTGTACTCTGAAATTATAAACAAATTATTTTATGGTTTTAACTTTTTACATTTAAGTCTTTGATACATAATGGAATTTATCCTAGCGTATCATGTGGGGTATGGATCCAACATTTTTTTCTAGATGGCCCTTTTGTCTGGTTGGGATTTTTACAGGAGTAATTCTTGGATTATCCTCCTCATGCAAGTGGATCACATTTCTGTTTGCCTAGCTCAGAGATCACAACTCAGATGCCTGTAGAGACTAGGCAGGTTACATAATAAAAGAGTGAAGAGTGCCAGGTAGGGAGTATAGCCAACTGGAAATGGGATGGCATACTTTTCAACGTTTGGTGTTTTTTTTTTTTTTTTTAATTATTTTTGGGACAGAGAGAGACAGAGCATGAACGGGGGAGGGGCAGAGAGAGAGGGAGACACAGAATCGGAAACAGGCTCCAGGCTCCGAGCCATCAGCCCAGAGCCTGACGCGGGGCTCGAACTCACAGACCGCAAGATCGTGACCTGGCTGAAGTCGGACGCTTAACCGACTGCGCCACCCAGGCGCCCCGGGATGGCATACTTTTCTAAAGAGGGCAGCCACTACCGACTGCCTGCTTGCTGACTATTCCTTTGCAGGAATGCAGCAGCACCCAGTGTTCCTGGATTTTTGTCCAGAAGCTGGAAATCCATTTTTATATGAAATCTCTTGATTTAAAAATATTAACAATTTTAAAATTTAAATATAGATTTGGGTAAACAGAATGTGTCTTCAGCCAAATTTGACTCAGAAGGCTTCCAATATCCTCCTTGGCCAAGAATGAAACTTCCTACTGACCACTTTACTCTCTTGTAAGAAAATATAATGACAGTCTCGTTTGACAGCCTAGTAGTTTACAGCTGGAGTTCCGGACGAGGAAAGAAAAGTAAAAAACCGTCTGTAGAAGTCAAAGTCTGCCGTCACTGAAAAAGTAATTGGAGAAATACAAGCATTTTACTATCCTACCCTTTATCCCAAGTACATGGGAATGTGGATGTGACTTTATTAGAAGAAATTCGTGATTCCGTGGGTACTTGGATTAGAAAAATAAATTTTCCAACTCTGTCTTTCCGATTTTTGCCAAATGACAAATTGAGGTGTGTTTGAGAAGAGGATAATTGTTGAGTTACTGATCCTGGAACTGAAGTATACAGCATGTACTCCCCCGCCCCGCCGCCCGTTCTTTCTTTCCCTTCCTCACTGGTGGCTGAGGGCTTTCCGCGTCTCACCTTTCAATCCCCAAAACATCACACTATGAAATAGTTAACTACCTCCTATGTATACACATACGTTAAACATCGTGTCCAGCCCGAATGTCCCTTTCTCTCCCCGTCCTGAATTGCTTCCCATGACTGTCGTCCTCGAAGAGTGGCACCGAGTCAGGATTGTCTTGGGAAGGTCGAGAGAAGGGAGCGTTCGTGTTAGACACAGTAAGTTGAAGAGTCGATCTGGTACAGGCCCCCAGCAAGTCCCTAGCACAGGCCGACACCCACGGCCGGGCCCCCGCGCCTCTGAAAGTCCGCGACCGGCCGGCGCCTCTGCCTGCTCCGCGGCGCGCATGCTCCGTGCGGGGCTTCTCCGGCGACCCGGGATAATGAGCGCCGGGCCGAGGGGGCGGGCCGAGAGGCGACTGCTGGGGCCCGGAGCTCGGCGGCGGCCCCGGGGCGCTGTGCGCGGCGTCTGAAGGGGCGGCGGCGGCGGTGGCCAGCACTGTGCGCGCCAGAGTGTGGCTCGCTCGCCCGATCCCCAGGGCCCTCTGGAGGTGACTCGAGCGGGCCGGGCGGCGTTGCCTGTTGGGAGGGCGGGAATGAGGCGATGAAGAGACGAGCTGCCGCCGCCGCTCTCCGCCTGCCGCGGCCGTAGCGGTAGTTGGGGCGGGGGCGAGGGCGAGGGCGAGGTCAGCTGTACCCCGCGCGGGACTGCGAACCCAGACAAAGGAGGAGGAGCCGCCCGAGGAGCGGGCCAACGCCGCCGGGAAAGGAGGCCGACGTCTCGGTCGCAGCTGGGGGTAGCCCGGGTTCTCGGGCCGCCGCGCTTCCTCTGCGGACTCTGCGCGAGGCGAGGCCGCCCGGGCCGAGGAAACCGCCCCCGGAGCCCCCGCCCGCCGGCGCCGCCCCCGAGCCGCCTCGGCCGTAGCTGCGGCCCGGGCGGCGGCGGCCGGCGAGGCGAGGCTCCGGGGGCGGTTTCCTCGGCCCGGGCGGCCTCGCCTCGCGCAG